AAATGTTTTGAAAATGATGATAGCATCATATGTATAAGTGTGCTTGACACAATGGATGTATGTATGGATGTGATAAGAACTGTACAAGCCCCCAGTAAAAATGATAAAATAAAAATTAAAACGATATTTTAAATGTCATTAAAAAAAGAGCGACAGACTCAGAAACCAACAGTTCTAACCTGTCCTTTGGGGACACTATCAGTCAGAACTGACTCGATGGAAGTGTTGGGGCTTTTTTTGTGGGGGGGGGGGTGTTTGTTTAGTTGGTCCTTCTATGGCTGTTACAGCTCCAGGAAACATAGGTTGACAAAGTAATGTCCAGTAGAAACAAAAGCATATATTCCTTCTGTTATTATTTTCTTTCCTTTTATAATCACAGGGAAAATTTTTGGAGATGGTATCAGTTAGATGTTCTTCCCCTTTTATTATAAGAGGGTCACATGCCACTTTCCAAATTAAGCATTGCCAGAGGGAATATAATGATCACAATTGGTTTATAAATGGTAACTCCTGTTGAACAATGGCCAACAGGAGCAGGGTGAACTCTGTCAAGAGGAGAGGGAGTGGTTAGGGAGAAATTCTTTGGCCTAATCTTAAACTCAAGAATTTATTCCTAAATTCTTTCACTGAATTTATAAAACTTCTAAACCAATAATCAACAATATTTCTATATTCTAAACTCTATCTCTGAATAGGCCAACTGACTGGAAGAGATCATTTCTGTACCCATCACACAGAAAGGTGACCCAACAGAATGTGCAAATTTTAGAATAATATCATTGATAACACACGCAAGTAAAATTTTGCACAATATCATCCAATAATAGTTGTAGCAGTACGTTGACAAGGAGCTGCCAAAGGTTCAGGCCAGATTCAGAAGGAGACATGGAACAAAGGGATGTATGATTGCTGGGTTTGACAGGTCATGGCTGAAAGCAAAGAATACTAAAAAGGTGTCTACTTGTGTTTTACTGACTATGCCAAGGCATTTGACTGTGTGCACCATAACTATAAATAATCTTGAGAAGAATGGGAATTCCAGAACACTTCATAGTGCTTATGGGTAACTTGTACATGGATCAAGATGCAGTTGGGTAAACAAGAGAATACTGCATGATTTAAAATCGGGAAAGATGTGTTATAAGATTGTATCATCTCACCATACTTATTGAGTCTGTATGCAGAGCAAATAATCAGAGAAGCTGGGTTATATGAAGAAGAATGCGGCATCATGATTAGAGGAAGGCTAATTAACAGCTTGCCACATGTAAATGACACAACCTTACTTGCTGAAAGTAAAGAGGACTTGAAGCACTTCCTGACAAAGATCAAGGATAACAACTCAATGTCAAGAAGATCAAAATCCTCAAACTGGACCCATAGTTACATGATGGTAATTGGAGAGAAGGTTGAAGATAAGAAGGATTTTATCTTGCTTGTATCCACACTCAATGCTCACAGAAGCAGCATTCAAGAAAGGGTTAAATGATGAGTTGTGTATGTAAGTCCACTGCACAAGACCTTTATAGAAGATTGAAAAGCAAGAGTGTTACTTTGAGGACTAAAATGTGCCTGACCTAAGTCATGATATTTTCAATTTCCTCATATGCACGTGAAAGTAGAACCTGAATTATAGAAGACCGAAGAAGAAGCAATATATTTGAATTGTGGTGTTGAAGAACATCGGAAATACCATAGACTGCTAAAAGGATATCTATCTTAGAAGTATGGCTTGGGTGCTCCTTAGAGGCAAGGATGGTAAAACTTCGTCATATATTTCGGACAAATTGTCTGGAGAGACTAGTCCATGGAGAAGGAGCTCATGCTTGCTAAAGTAGAGGGACAGCGAAAAAGAGGAAGGCCCTCAACCAGATGGATTGACACAGTGGCTGCATCAATGAGTTCAAGAATAGGAGCAAATGTGAGGATGGTGCAGGACTGGGCAGTTTCAACCTGTTTCATCCTGTTGTGCATAAGGTCACTAAGGGTCAGAGCCAAGCAGCAACACTCTATGAATGATTGTTAGGTCAACTCTCCTTATCTAAAACCTGATTCTCCCCAAGGACAATCCCTCTCCTGCAATCAGTTTATTTTCACTTCCTGACATATCAGCAAGGCCAGAAGCCTAGATAGATGTCACCATTGCTGGCCATTGACTGTTTCAAATATTTCCGCCCTTTTGTATTTTGCAAATAAGAGAATTGCTATTTCAACATGTTACTAGTCCCTAAAATTCATCTATAAGCTTAATGTAATAACAGAAATTCCAGCAGTATTTTTGGGTAAGAATTGTGAAATTGATTCTAAAATTCATTTGGAAATGCAAACGATTTCTAATAGTCAAAGCAATGAAAATAAATTAGAATATTTTTAGACTTACTAAAAAAGATAGTAAGTCTTAGTTGATTTACAGACTTACTATCAGGTTTCAGTAATCAAGATATTGTTGAGATTTATAGATCAATGGAAGAAAATATAGAGTCCAGAAAGAAACATATATTTATAATGCCAGGTTATTAGTTTTTTACAAAGATGTTGAAGCAATTAAATGCAGGCCAGTTATTTTTCAATAACTGATGAAGAAATAATTCAAAGTTTGCATTAAAAATAATTAACCCTTACTTCACACACATAAATTAACATGAAATGAATCATTGATTAAAATGTGAGCTGAAAGGATGAAATTGCTAAAAGAAACCATAGAAGAAAAACTTCACCAATCTTTGGTAGCCGAAATTAGGACAAAAAGATTGAGTTGTAAAAAAAAAAATTGGTCAACTGGACTTTACCAAAATAAAAAGTGTCTGTTCTTCAAAATGCCAATAAAAAAGAAAGCAGTTTAGTGAGAAAATAAGAGAAAACATTCATAAAAGTATAACAATGAACTTGCATGCAGAACATACATAAACTACTCCTAAAACTCATAAGTAAGACAAATAAATTTTAAATAATATATTTGAACAGAGATTTTCTAAAAGATATATAAATGTCTAATAAGCACATGAGAAGACACTTAGCATCATTAGCCATCGAGTTGATTCTGAGCCAATCACCAGGTAAGCAGGCCAACAGTTACCCTATTGAGTCACCAGGGCTGCATCCAGAAATCCCATACCAAACCCACCAACAGGGAGTTGGTTTAGACTCATAATAACCCTCTATGGGGTTTCTGAGGCTGTAAATCTTTGGGGGAGCAGATAGTCTAATCTGTGTCTTCCAAAGGTTGGAGTTTTGAACTGTTGACCTTGCACTTAGCAGCCAACACATAACCACTATGCCACCAGAGATTTCC